GGCGCAGAGGCGCAGAGCTTGGACCCCGCCCTCTCTGGCGGTGGGGGGCTCGGTCCAGCTCTACGGCTCGGCGCCCGCTGAGACGGCCCCAGCCACAGTGTGCGGTGGACTCGTGGCCAGTGGGACTCGCGCCTGGACAGGCCTCCCCGTCGCACTTGTGCTACCGCGGCGCAGAGGGCTTGCCTCTCTGTCCAGATCGTTCAGCGTCACGGAGTCGGGCTCCTGCTCCTGAAAGCCCAAGACACCAACCTGGTAAGCAGAGGCAGGACTCCCAGGCAGGGGACAAAACTCTGCTGTGGTTGGGCGCGACCTGACCTTGGCCTCCCCACTGCTCCTGTCGCAGTGCTCGCCCTGCAGCTTCCCCGTGGCGCCAGCCTCCGAGCCTCCCTTCTCGGGCTCTGGTTCCGTTCTTCCTGCCGCGGGCTCCGCCTGTCCGAGAGCACCCTCTTCCTTCCCTTCCGCGCCTTCCTCCACGTTCCCCTGGCTGCACGAGACGTGGGAACGCTGGTTTGCAAAGGGCGTCACTCGCGTCACGCTGGACACTGGGCCCCGGGGCTGTGCGCCGGGAGGGCCTCGCTGGGCAGAGGGGTCTGCGAGCTGCGGGCCCCTGGCAAGGACGTGCGGGGCCGGCCGCTTACCAGCCGGAGTCTTGCACGTCACTCCGCAGGTCTTTCCCGGGATCCTCAGGCTCTGGGGAGGAAGGGCAGAGCAGGCAGCGCGTCAGCGCGTGCGCCAGCCTGGGGCCCGGGCCCTGCCCCGTCGCCAGCCGTGGTGCGCGGCCGAAGGGAGCTCCCCCTTCCCCTCTGCGTGCTTGCTACTCGGCCTCCCGCGTCTGCAGCTCCGACATATTCTACAGAGCAGCCCCACGGTGCCGTGCACTGCAGGGACTCGGGGAGGCCCGCGGCGACTTCTGGGGTCTGGCCCAGCGAGACCAGCAGGGGGCGAGGCCCCCGCCTGCGACCCGGCGTCCTGAAACCACTCTCGGTTGTCCGGAGAATCCTCTGGTCCCGGATCCCTCCTGGCCCCTGTGGGGGCATCGCCAGGTGTTTCTCGTGGTCCTTTTTCCAAAAACACTAATGAGGGTCTTTAGCCCGAGGGTCTCAGGATGCTCCTGGACTTTGCACGGGGGCTGTGGGGCAGCGGGCCTGAGCAGTTCTTCAGCCCAGCCCCACGCCAAGGCCCACGGGTGGATCTGCATCTGGGGAGTGTGGCAGGAGGCGCCCGGCGGGTGGCTTGGTTTCCCGCACGCTGTTCCAAGGAAACACCAGCTTCTGTCTTCCAGGGAGCTGGCAACCCGCACAGCCATCTTGGGGAGAGTCGCACGGCAGGAGACCCTCCCACCGTCAGGGGCCCTTCCCTGCCGCTGCAGCTCGCCGCGGTGCTCAGGACGCCAGCGGGGCAGGAGGTGCCGGAGCCCCACGCACAGCTGGCCGGAGTCTCGGAACAGCCTGCCCAGGGCAGTTCCTGACAGAACGTGGAGAGCGGGATCCGCCCCCCAGGCCCCTCGCCCAGCTCCGTGCCAGGCCCGGGCGTTCGGACCTGAGCAGGGAGCAGCTCCAGGGGGTCTCAGGAGGTGAGGCCAGCGGCTGACCACGGGGCTGACCACGCCGGAGCTGCTATGAAGCCCGGGAGGTCACAGCACGGACACAGACGCGGCGCCTCCCTCGTCTGCCTAGCACGTCACGGAGCCGTCAGCCCACGGCAGCTCGGCAAGGCCGCTTCTGCCCCGTGGCGTGAGCAGCGCCAGGGCACGTGGCTGGGGCGCCGCCTGCTCTTATTCCTGTGGCCCCTCGCTGCCTGGTGGCCGCACGCTCTGGGAGCCGGCCTCCTGGAACACGTCTGGGCGCCGTGCGGAGGGTCTGGGGCGGTGGGAGGCGTGTGCGGTGTGGGCGTCTGCCAGGCGGGACAGGCCCCTGCCGCGACCACTCCTCTCGCGCCGTCTGGGGAAGGCCACGTCCGGCTCCGAGCCCAGCTCTGGGGCTGCCTCTGTCCCTGCTCAGGTCACCCCTGAGCAGCCTTGGGGCCATTTCTTCCTCTGCACGTCTCAGGGAGCCCGGGGGTGGCGGCGGGGAGCAGGCCCCACAGCGGCTCACGTCTCCCCCGACAGTGCGTCTGTGGATTTCCACATTGTCCCAGGGCTCGAGGGGCTCCAGCGAGCAAACCGCGTCTCCCACCTGCCACGTGCCGACCTCAGGGAGGGCAGGGCCGGCCCGTGAAGCCGGCAGGCGCAGAGAGCGTCAGCGCCCCGTCGCGGAGCCCACTCAGGTCTCGCGGCGCCCTCTGGGAAACCGTGCGCGGCGATCGCGCCTGCACTGACTCATACTCCGAGTGTGACCGGGACGTTTCACACGCCCATCCCTGGGGCCGGAGGTCCTGGCATGGCAGAGGCAGGTGATGTGAGGTGTGGGACCGCACGTCCCACCGTGTCAAAGCCAGGTTGGGGCCAGGCATGACCACAGGCAGCCCCCGCCACGGGCACCAAGGGCTGCGCAAGGTCCCCGTGGCTGCCCCCAGAGGGAGCGTGGCTGTGCCAGGCCAGGCCTCCCCGTGAACAGGTGGCCACGTCCCCGGCCCTCCCTGCCCCCCTCCTCGCTGCTGTGCCCCCTGCGGGCGGAAGACCCTCCCGGCCGGCCTCCATGGACACGACCTGCGTGGACCCAGAACGCTCCCGCACGGGCCCGCCCCCTACCCGGCTCCTTGCGCGGCTTCCTGGGGCAGCTGGGAGAGTCGCCCTTCTGCTGCAAGCCGCCCATGCTCCTGCTCCTCTGCAGCTCGGCCGCCGCGCTGGCTGTCCTGGGGTGCATGGCGGCCGATCCTGCGGGCAGGGCCCCGGGGCCGGGCCGGTGCCTCCTGTGTGCCGCGGTGGCGTCTTTCTCCATCCTGAAGCGCAGAGAAGCGGGCGCCGGCTCCCAGCACAGCCTCAGCTGGGGCGCATGGCTGCCCCGCTCGCGATCTCTGCTCTGGGAGAGTGGCCCAGATTGTGCCTGGGGGGCCCCTGTTGCCATGGGGCTGCTGTGACATCACTGCAAGGTCAGAGGTCAAAGGTTGGCCCGGTCCGGCCCAGCGTGGCCTTTCCCGCAGGCCGGGGTTTGGGTGTGGGTTTGCGTTTCCTTTGTGGGCCTGGTCCAGTGTCTCCCCCAGGGTGGGTGTGATGGTGACAGCTGAACACCACACCTCTCGTCCCCAGTCTGTGCCGTGTGGGCCGGGGGGAGAAAGGCCGCGGGCTGCGGCTGAACAATAGGAGTTCGTTCTCACATTCCAAAGGCCGGACGTCCTTCTGAGATGGGGGTCAGCAGGACTGGCTCCCCCCAGGCCTCTCTCCTGGCAGGGTATGCGTCCCCTGTCACATGTGGTCCCCCGCGGTGTCCCCACAGCCACATCTCCGCACAAAAACAAAACCCCCACACGGCCCCGCCCACACCCGGGAGATCGCATTACACCCAGAACACCCCCCCCCGCCAAAAACACACGCGCGCCAGAGCCCCGGGGTCCGACGTGAATCTGGGGTGCGACACACCCCAACAGACGCCCCCGAGGCCCTCACAGAAGCCCCCGCCGTCCGCGCGTCCTTGGCCGGGCCGGGAGTTAAACCGACGTGAGAAGCAGCGCAGGTCCCTGCGAGTTCCACGCGGCGCGGGCGCCGCTTCCACACGTGGACACTGACGGGCAAGGAGCGTGTGGGAGGCTGGAGACAGGGCGGGGCGCCCAGCTCTGCCCGGGAGACGCCGCCTTCCCCTGCTCGGGCCTTGCCAGGGCGTCCTGGCCCCTCTTTCAGGAGGTGGCGGTGGGAGGCCAGGGCCCCACCCCGCACCGGCTTTTTAAGTGCCTTTATCTCAAAATAGCCCTCAAGCCGCACGGCTGTTCTGCCACCTTCCCGCCCGTCCCGTGTTCCCGCTCACCGCGCGGGGCTCAGCGCATTCAGGGAGGCAGAAGGGCCCCGCAGACCAGCCGGCTCCCTACCCTCTCTGGGTCTCCTTTGTGTGCGCCCACGGCATCCCGGTGTCTGAGGCCTTAGGTCACCTGCCAAGCGCCAGGGTGGGCAGCAGCCTCTGCCCCGGGTCCACCAAGTGGAGACCGAGGCTCAGGGGTGCCTGCGCCAACCCGGACGCCCGACAGCCACAGCCCCGACGGAAGCCGTGCAGAGGCTGCTCTCTGCAATAACCCCAAGTCCCCAGAAGCAAGGGGCGGGGGTCCCGCCTGCTCCACCCAGCCGGGTTTGCCTCGGCCGTGCCACTCCGGCGCTCGGGTGCCTCCGGCCTGCTGCGGAAGCCCAGCCCCGAGCGCCCCGTCAGCCTCGCGGGCAGCGGGGGCCCCGCCCGGGGTCACCAACCACCCATAGCAGCCCCCGACCTGGGACAGCACCTGCCTCGCCCCAACTCCGCCTGCCTGTGCAGCCTCGGACCCCCAGGGAGGCCTCGCACCCAGCCCCGCCCACCACGCCCCAGAATGTGCTGGGGAAGCATCTGGCCGGCGCCCCAAAGCCAAGCCCTCGGATTCTCTCGTAACAGGGCTGACAAGGAGGCATTAAAACAAAGGAGGAATAAAGAGATCAGGACTGTGTCGGACGTCCCCAGCCTGGCCATGGAGGCTCCACCCACAGCCTCCCTTGACCATGAGGGCCACCCCGTCTCTCCCGAGTGCCCGAGCTCAGGGACAGCAGCGCGGGTGGCGTCCCTCCCCCAGCCCTCGAAGAAGAGCCGCACGCCCCACGGCCCTCCGCGTGCCAGATCCCGCCCAGAGCCCTGCAGGTCACACCACCTGTCACCAGAGGGATGTCTCCTGTCGTCAGAGGTGTCACCCGTCACCGGAGACACCACCTGTCACCAGAGACACCACCTGTCACCAGAGGAATGTCACCTGTCACCGGAACATCACTGTCACCAGAGTGGTGTCGTCCAGCTCTCGGTGCCCGCACCCCAGCCCCCGCAGGCGTGACCACAGCGCACCCGGAAGAGCACGCCAGTCCTCAGAAAGAATAAAGTATCTGCTTTAATTGGCCAGTAAAATACGTTGCAAAACGTTAGTACTTCATACACAGACGTGAGGTTACGAGCCCACATTGAACGCTGCGGCGCGGCCTGACAGCTGTGTCCCCACCTTGACTTTCACATGTCCCTCCGCTACTTTGGTGACGGGTAACGTCACCACCTGCCGTCCGGGCTGAGCCTGAACGACGTTTCCCAACTGGGACGGGGAGAAACGGGAACATGGACGCGACGTGGACGACTCGCGTGCTTGCCAGCGCCCGTCTGCGGCCCCGCGAGGACGCAGTGCGCGGGAGGGAGCGTGGGAGACCACGGCCCGGCCGTTCCAGGGTCCCCTCCACCCCGGGGAAGGCGGCCTCTTAGGTCCACAGAGATGCAGGCGGGACACGCGCAGGAGTCCTCCCCGCTTGGACGTTCCTTTGAGGACCTTGGTTTCCTGAGACTCGCGGGCTGCCCGCCTGCCTGCGGCCGCCTCTCCACGGCAGGTGCAGCTTTGACACCGTAAGTTACTTTCTATCTGAGAGTGAGTTCAAAGTGGTCCTTTAAAAACATTAAGAAAAACAGCTTGAAAAACGTGTGGATGCTTTAAACCCCATCAAAACGGTGTGTGCTTGAGCCGCGGTGTGGGATACCCAGGTGGGCGTGGGGCCCACGCCCTTCCCTCGCGGACCCTATGCGGCGGGGACCCCACTCCCAGGCACCGTCGGGCGGGATTTCCGTGCAGCTCTGCGTGTCCAGCGCAAAGCGGACCCTTCAGCCAGGAACAAAGCTGCGTCCGGGGCGTGGTGCGGCAGCACGTTGGCGGGACAGGGAGCCCCGTGCAGAACTGCGGACGGCGGGCACGGTGCACGTGATGGAAGCACATGTTCTACAGCAGAGGCGTGGCATGGGCTCCCGTGGATGCCTGAGCTGTGGCTGTCGACGCCCACGGCTCCGTCGTCTGGCCGACCCCTGGGTCAGCAGGATAAAAACCAGCGACAGCACCTCCCAGGAAGGCCAGTGGGGGCGAGTCCGAGCTCTCCCACGACAGGAGGCAACGGGCGGCTTCTCGGGGAAGCGACGCGGCTCGGCGACATGGGCACGGCAGTGCGGCGGCCGTGCTGGTCCCAGGGAGGGAGGCCCCGCTCCTCCCCACGTGGCGCGAACTTCAAATGGAATGCGTGGAGGTCTCCGACTGCTGCCTGACGTAGCTCTGGAAGCTCTTGTCCCCGATGGGGTGCTCCCTGGGCGAGAAGAGAGAGTGAGCACAGCCCCGGGAGTGGTGACGGCGTTTCCACGGGTCATCGCAGCAGACACGAAAACACAAGGACGGACGGAGCTGGTAGGAGGCCCCCACCGCAGCCCTCGCCTGCGGTGTGCATACATGTAGGTCACGTGTGCAGGTGTGGAGCATGTGTACACGCGTGTGGCACTGTGGGGGCTGTGTGCACTGCATGGAGTGTGCAGCGCACGTGTGGAGTGTCAGCTCCAGGGCACGGTCTGTCCGTCTGTGCGCTGTGCCCGGGACAGCGCCGGCCCGCCGCGGGTGCTCAGTCACCGCCCGCCGCGGCGCACGCCTGCCACGAGCAGCGGGACCCACTGCACCTGCCGTTTCCAGCCCGCCCGCTTCACGCTCAGCATCAACGAAGCAACGTTTTTAGGAGGTGGGCGTGTGCCCTCCCCAGAGGGTGTCTACGGACCGGGCGTGGTGGTGTGGACCGGGGAGGAGCGAGTACAGACACGGCTGGAGCACGGACGGGGCCGCCTCGCCCAGGAGGGCTTCGCACTCGGTCCCGTGTGGCGTCCTGGGGACCTGCCGCTGTCCCTGGGCTCCACCACTTCCCTCCCCAGATCAAACCACAGCCTCCCTGGAGGGAGGGGATGGGGAGGGCAGGGGAGCGAGAGGAGGATGCCGGCTATACAGGCTCCCCGGGCTGACCCGCCCCATCCAAGGTGGGCTCCACCCTGGCGGTCCCTGGGCACCTGCCCACTCCGGGCCAAGAGCTATTCTAGCACTTTACGTAACTTAACTCGGCCCCCCAGTGACTCACAAGCATCTCGCAACCCTCCTACCTATGAAGCAGGAGCTCCGCTCAGCTAACCTGCCCTGCCCTGCAGCCTGTGGCCGCTGCCCAGCTGACGTCTCTGCCCACCCTAGCACCTCCCTCCCGAGACACGAACGGGCCAGTCCAGCCTTGGTGGGGAGACGGCAGGGCATGCAGGACGAGGCCTGGGCCCAAGAGACCTTGGGCAACTGAGGCCAGGACGGCAGAGGGGCCGGAAGACAGCCCGGGGCCCGGAGAACAAAGTCAGGCACCTGCTCCAAAGGAGGGACCACCGCCAGGCACGCGGCGGGCACGCCTGGGGCTCTCCTGGTCGGGGGACGCACACTGGGGCTGGGGTGGGCCCGGTCCCTCCCCCACCCCGAGACCTTGCAGGCCGTGGCCAGGACCACCCCGGGAGCCGACTCACTGGCTTCCGTATCTCGTCTTCTTGAACTTGTCCCTCCTGTACTGGGCGTGCTCCTGCTCCAGGGCGCCTACCCCGGCGATGACCTGCTTCAGCGTCTTGTACGTCTCCTGGGGGTCGTCGATGATGAATGTGGAGTACTCCTCCTGCTCGGGGCCGTCGTACACGGACTTGCTCCCGCAGGCCTCTGCGGACCAGGCAGGGCAGGGAGGTCAGCGCCCCTGGTGCCACCACCCATCCCTGCATCTACACAACCCTGTGTCCCTCTCGCGGCGCATGTCCTCCCAAAGCAACCTCCAGCAAGGCCAGCCGCTTGCTCAAACACGGGCAGAAAGCCAGGCTACTGCCGCGGCGGGTGAGTCCTGCCCGAAGTGGACCTGGGAAGCCCGAGGAGAGCTAGAAGCAGGAGCCCGCTGCCCCCGGCCCTCAGTCTGTCCCCAAACTCCAGGTAACATTCCAGAATGAGCAAGGGCCCAAAGGTTGGCCAGGGCAGAGGCCACGCCACGTGGCATGCGGGGGACAGAGACAGCCAACCTCCCCTGCACGGCGCCTGAGGCGCGGCACCTAGAGGGGAGAAGACTGGCCATGGGTGGAGCAGAGCCCGTGGGTCGAGTGTTGGGAGACGGAGTTTGGCTGATAAAGTGCAGCATCTTGAAGCAATTAGAACAAAACTGCCCCAAGAAAGCTCGGAGACTGCAGGCCTGACGCTGCCAAGGGGCTCGAGACCTGAGAGAGAACCTCCCCAGGCGTCCAGCCAAGCCAGCGTCCACAGACCCGCGCCACCAAGAGGACTCCTTCCTGGGCAGGGACGGAGTGTGAGAGCGTCCCCACGTGTCCACTGTCGTCCCTTTGCCCGTGCCACAACCACCCATCTTCCCGCCCGTCCGTCCATCCACTCCCCTGTCCATCTGTCTGTCCATCTGTCCATTCGCCCACCTGTCCATCTGCCTGTCGCCCACCCACACACCCATCTACCCATCCATTTATCCATCCATCAATATCCATCCACCCACCATCCATCCATTCCACCACCCATCATCCATCCGTCCGTCCATCCGTCTGCCCATCTGACCAGCATACAGATGCTGAGCACCCCTTTGTGCCAGGCCCTGGGACAGAGCCCTGCGCTCTGTTCCTCGAAGGCCACAGCATGTTGAGAACGGAAGAGAAAGGATTCTAACTGCAATGATGGAGATGAACCCAGACCGCTGGCTGGGGAGGTCAGTGTTCCCGGGAGGAAGGGACTTCCAGGGTGAACAGGGGTCAGCCTGCCCGAGGCAGGAGGGCGTTCCAGGCCGAGGCAGAGCAGCAGCCGCAGTGTGGGTGCAAAGCACAGTGGTACAGAGGCAGGCCCGGTGCAGGAGCTGGGAGTGGGTGGAGAGCCTGGTCAGCCTTGTTCCTGAACCCACTCTTACGCGGTCGCCTCACCTCTCCAAGGCTCATGTCCTCCCGTTTGGTCACTGCTCTCAGGGACAGCGCGGAGGATGCCAAGTTGAATTCCATCTAAAAACTATCTGTAGAGCCCGTCATCAAGTACTTTTCCCCACAGAGCTGCCTACCCTGCAAACGGCCCTCCCACCTGCCGGGGCCACAGAGACACCCACACTCTGCCCACAGGACACAGGAGCCTGGACCTGGCCAGGAAGCCCAGGGCCCAGTGGGCTCACCCTGCATCTTCTCCAGCCTGGCCATGTACGTGTGGAACAGGGAGTAGATCCGCTCCGTCTCACGGTCCCCGTCGATGTCCAGCTGGATGTTGGCCGGGAGGCCCCTGTCCAAACACAGTGAGGACAGAAATAGAGACTCTGGTTTAAGTAATGCTCTCCAGTCCGCGTGCTAGAGCTCCGGGGGACTGAATGACAGTTGAGCACTGAGCACACACTCGTCACACGAGGCTGTCACCAGTCCCGACATACACACAAGAGTCTCATGGGCATAACCGGGCGAGGCTGGGCACCCAGACCTCCTTCCGAGACGGGCAGAGATGACCCAAGGCCCGCAGGGAGGCCCGGCTGACGCCACCAGGCAGACAGCGGCCCACAGCCGGGGCGCGTGCAGGGATGAGCCGTGGACAGGAAGCAGCTATCGGGAGATGGTGTCCTCCCAGGCCCCTCTCAGAGAAACAGGACGGCACCCACCCCGGGTCCTCTCTGCACCCAGCCCACCCCTCCCGCAAGGACAGCCCCACCCACAGGGCTCAGGAAGAGCCAAGAAAGCTCAGACCCAGTTGCTTCCGGGGCGGGAGGCTCCTTGGACGGCGCGGAAGGAACGGCCCTGCGGCGGGCAGCCTGCGCTCAGGGCCCAGCTCAGGCACGCCTGCCTGCCTGCGCAAGCCCCCGCCGGGCGCGGCCCGGGCAGACCTACCCCGTGCAGGGCGTGCAGCCCGCGGCCGTGTCCGAGGACGCCCGGCAGCACAGCCAGTGGCCGTTGAGGTAGGCGGACGGGTGGAAGACGCTGAGGCGCTTCTGGTTGCACTGGCTGACTTTGGTGAGGATGTCGGTCCAGTCCTTGGCCTCCACGCAGTTGTTGGCCTGGATGTACAGCGCGCGCTCGGGCTGGACCACCTGGAACATCTGTGGGCGCAGAGCGCACTCAGGCGGCGCCGCACGGCGGGAGTGCAGCGGGCACCTGGCCGTGGTCACTGGACCCTCAGAGGGGCCGAGGCTGCGGCGGAGGCTCTGGGGCAGGAAGCGCCAGGAGAGGCCAGGCTGGGGGCGGGAGCTTTCCCTTGAGCAGACACCAGGGGCCGTAAGGGTAGGAGGCCTGGCCAGGCACGTCTCGTCCCAGGACCACAGGTGTCCGCTCCCGGAGCAGAGCGGGGCAGTCTCCCCACGGCACCCTGGAGCTGACCATAGGTGCCGCGTACGTGTGGGGCTTGCTCCCTGGGTCTCCCCATTTTCTGAGCCAGGGTGGGCTGCCGTGCAAGAGGCTCTGGAGCTGGCCCTGCTCACCTGCCTGTTCCCAGCCTCCACACCTGGGCCTTTGCCTGCCCTCCTCGCCCCCAGCTGCCTCCCCGTCCAGCCAGGTGTTGTGTCCACATAAGGCCTCCCAGAGCCCCCACCGGTTGCCATCTAATAGTCAGTCAACAAACACGACTGAGTGCCAGATACCTCCTAGGTCCTGGGACACCGTGTGGCCTGAGTCCCTGAACCCGTGAACGTCCCACCAGCAAGACAGAGAGAGAGCACAGAG